TACCTAGATACATCTATCTTCACACACCATCCATACTGTGAAACATTGTAGTTAAGGTATTATATTGAAGGGATACTTTTTGTTAGCAGTCAAGACAGAAAGTCAGGCTTCACAGGATGATAAATACTGTTAAACACAAATCAATACACCATGAAATCTTGTTAGAGGCTGTAAAATACTGAATAGAGTTTCATCATCCAGCAGGAGAAATTTGTTAATCATACAATCATTTACAAATTTGATGGGATGGTTTCCTAAAATCTCACTAAATACATTAAAATCAATTAAAAAAATGTAGAAACTTTCTACTTTTGCATAAGATGGTATGCAAAGAGGCGGTGTAGTTTGGTTTTCTATAAAATAACAAGGATGCTGTAAAATGATTATCTTATTCTCCACAGAGACAAAGCACAGATTTAATATTTGGGAAAACCAGATTACATATAGAGCTGCCCCAAACAGCTGGTTAAACTACATGCAGTTCTTTCTTGGCTGCTTTACAGTGATAAAGTCAATTTGCAATTACGTTGGCTGCTGCTGAATCTTTTATTTATCTAGAGAGAAAAGAAGCTAAGCCATTAGGTCTTTGCCGTCCGACTGCCTAAAGGGCCAGCTGGAATGAGTTCCACTCTGAGCCGCTCATCTGGCTGCAACGGCTGCTTTCATAAACAGGAGGAACCACGTCTTACATAGTTTCACTGCTGTCTGACATGATCCAAACACATGTGCTTCGATTGGTAAGAGAGTCAACAAGTTGGAGGACAGGAGGAGAATCAGACAGACGGACAATATGAGGCGAGAGTATAAGTTCAACAATCAAGAGTAGCATTTTCGTTTTGATTATCAAGGAAACACTTTAAATTCTTAAAATAAGATATCAGAAAAAGGACCCAGAAAAACAAGATGGGCGATACTGTATATGGGTCAGGCTTAACTTTTCCCTACCTTTGTTGACCAACCAATATCAAAATAACAAGACATCTATGTCGGTCACATTATTATAACTTAAAATGTTAAATATTTCAGCAGCTTTTCTTTTTCACATAAAAGCAATTCATATACATCACTTTCATCGGAAATTTTGTGTAAACTCCATCTGCCTATAGTATTTCTGCTAACGCTATGATACTGTGAGAATATCCCATGACCAATTCTTCTTTTAACAAAACATTAGCAATGGTTCCTCACAGAACCAAATGCATAGAAATCCCAACTTCTGCCCTTTTATGTGCAATTCAACGAGTAAAGACCAGTATGACATATTCACAGTACGAGAACCTTGAGTTAACAGATCGCAGTTTGATGGTACCAAGGTATCGACAACCCTCAGCCAGTGCAGCGTCCAGCAGCAGAATAAAGGGCTGGTTATACTCCCGCAGCCCTGTGTCGCAGTGAGCTTGGCGCAGGTATGATGCAGATGTTTTTGATTTATGCACGAATTTTGAAGCGTGGTCTGAGCTATGTTATTCCACGCCACAACGCAAGAGGGACAATCATGAACTAGCTGTGGGTCTAGATAAGGCCAAGGCAATGAGGAAGTGCAAAAACGCAAGGGGCAAGTTTTTTCCGACAACGGAGGGACATGAGGGCAAAAAAGAGCGGGGATCCAGATGGAAAAAGGGTCCCAGGGTTCTTGAGCACCTCGCTCTTCTAGCTGGTCCATCTTTATGAATCGTTTTCCGCAACGGCAGTCATACAAACAAAACAAGCCGGAAAGGTGCCAAACAGGAAATATGCATAGTGTAGACCAGGGATCCCCAAACTCGGTCCTCAAAGCCCCCTGTCCTGCAGGTTTTAGAGGTTTCTCTGCTTCAGCACAGCTGGTTATAATGATTGCAGTAGACCAAAAGCCTGTTAATCAGCTTTCAATTAAAATCAGCTGTGCTGGAGCAGGGAAACCTCTAAAACCTGCAGGACAGGGGGCCTTGTGGACCGAGTTTGGGGAGGCCTGGTGTAGACCAATCAGAGATTTGACCAATCAGAGGCTTCCTCTCTGCGGTCACCTACAATTTTGGAGAGGTGCACCAGAGTGTCTGTGGAACAGGCGGGGTCACATATGCGTTAATTGCAAAACACACGCATACGACCTGGTTTCTGAGCATAAACCAGCCTTAAGGAGCCACTCTAAAGCAGGTATCCTCAAAGTCGGTCTTCCGGGGCCGCTGTCCTGCAGGTTTTAGAGGTTTCTCTGCTTTAGCACAGTTGATTCTGATGATTGCAGTTCAGCAAAAGCCTGTTGATCAACTATCAATGTCAATCAGCTGTGCTGGAGCAGGGAAAGCTCTAAAACCTGCAGGACAGCGGCCCTCGAGGACCGACTTTTGGTATGCCTGCTCTATCTTGCATCACATGGAAAGGAATTAAACCCTAAACAAAAAAGCACCTTGAGCAAGTTTTGAATTTAAACAAATGCTGAAAAAAAAAATGTACTTTGAAGGGACCCAGTTAGGTGCTATAACTTTATGAATTTCTACATTTCCGTAGATTACTCTCATAAGTTAGTATTTTCCAGCAGAGGCATAAAAAGAAAAAAAATATGGAATGTCAGGAGACATAAGAAAAGAGTAAGATTTGGAATATAATGTGAATGTTCTAACTTGTTCAAGCAGAAGTTAAGGCTGCCAAGTAAAACGAGTACTGCCAGCTGATGGAGATCACGTAAAAGTGTCATTATCTGGTAATCAGACCCTGTGTAAAACGTATTTACAGGATTATAAAAGACTACTTAAACACCTTAAAAATAAATGCTTGCCGTACATTGGTTTATTTCAACATAAATTGAATTTAAAGATCCATTTGGGAATAAATGAAAACTGCCTCTTTTCTATTTAATGCAAAATGTTTAGCCATTGTTTTTGATGTTGGAACAAATAATAATAAACCCTTAAAAAAAACAAAAAACTTAAAAGCCAATCAAGTCACTTTAATTCAAACTATTAACAATCATTTATCGACCCTCAGTGTCAAATGTAGTAAATAAATTTACACAACAATTAAAAAAGAATACAGCAGTCTCATTTTTAACCTTTAGATTGTTTGTTTTTATTTAAGCTGAAAGTTAATGTGTAATAGAAAATGACTGATAACTATAACAATGGATAAAAGAATGACCTTTATTTTAATTCGCTTTATTTCCCAACTGTTGAACTAGCCTATGTTCTGGACCCTAATCTATAAACATAAATGCAAATATTTAATATAACTAAATTTATCTTGAAATAAGTGTTTTTTTCCATTGATTAAGCAGATGGATAAGACAATCTGCCAATTTAACTAAATTGTTTATGTTTTAAATATTACAAAAACACAGCTTTATTATCTTACTTCAGGTGCATATCTAATAAGCTTATTTCAAAGGGGAAAATACTCATTTCTTAAGCAGATCATCTTATTTACCTGCTCAAATAAGGGAGTATACACTTATTTGAAGAATTCATCACATGTTTTTAGATCAAATTTTCCAGTCTAATCCTACAGTAAATCAATTTTATGAGGGTGGCCAGGCAATAACCAATGTACACTGAGGGGTGGCCGAAAGTAGACAGGCACCAAAATCTCACGGTCAATCTAGACTGTTCCAACAGGAAAATTAATGAGCAAAACATCCGTATTTTCTAAATAAAGTCTAACTATACTTTCCCAAGGCCTTTTCTAACTAAAAGACGCATATATTCAAACATCTGTGCTTTATAGATAAGACGTATAGTGGATAAAATTCTTTCAGGTTTGAGTTTCGGGCAAACATTTTTTCCATTGTCATTACATATCTACTTTTATCAGTAATCTTTCTGCATAAATGTACATTTACAAGTACTAATATCTACATAAATTGATTATTTATTACATTTTTATTTAAAAAAGTTACTTATCTATGATTTCACTGAAGACTACTTAGTGACTTGAAGATACATTTTCTCTTTACTCTATAAAACAAAATCTATTTCTGAAGAGCATGCATTCTGTACTCATCATCTTTATTGTTAGTATATTGATGTGCATAATTAACTAGTGTTTTTGTTGTAAAGTAATTGTTAATATATGAAATTTTTTTTGAATATTTCACTTGAGAGTATTACTGCTGCCACCGTCGGTTTTAGAGGGAAATGAATGGCCCCCCATTAGCTCCGCCCCTGGTGATGTATGGGCTAATAGTAGAGACCAAACTTAATTATTACTTGGGCCAATTTAGTATTTTTCAATTACAATTTAACTATATTCAGAGCGTTACAGTTTTCATTGTTTAGATCAGCGCTCTGGATCCTTGGCTTTGTGGCTCAATCAATATACTACAGCAGACACTTTCTTTTGTTTTTGTTTTTTTTACACCGATAAAAAAATAAAATAAAAAAATAAAATAAAAAACACTGGCCCAACCTGCCCCCATTAAATCTGCTCTAGAACCGCCACTGTTAATAAAGTCTAGCGCACCTGGAGCCTGGTGACCTGGCAACAAACCAAACTTCCAAATTCTAACTTAAATATTTGTTTAAACTGTTGCACTTTGTTGCTTTGTTGATGCAAAACATTTAGAAGCTCTTTTTCCCCCATCCTTCTCTCTCATTCATACCAAACTTTATATATAAACCAAATATTACATCCAAACTAGTACTTTCAGATCTTGCTTAGTTTTATATTTATATATGTCTATGGATGATCAAAATGAAGATAATGCAAAAATGTTCATACATGCGGTTTGTTTCTAATATCTATGGTGTCGCTCGGACCTTCTCCTGTAACCTAAAAGCTGCACATCATCAGTGCGTCTATTTGGTAAAATGCTCTGTCAATGTGGCTGTAATTCTTCATTTTGGCAGACTGAGCAGAGGGGAAAATGGAAAAACACAATAAAGGAAGCAGGCAAGGTGAGGTATGCGCTGACATCGGAAGCCCTGCAGCCTCCAGAATGCAGCCAGCAGCAGCGCATTAGGAGCCTTAGATATTCAACCAGCGACCAGGCTTACAAATATGCCAGACCGAACGGAGAAAAACGCTATGAATACCTTTCTTCCCTTCTCTCTCTCACTGTCATCCGATCTTTTCATGTTCCTGGAGTTGTGTTTACACTGCCTCGCTTTCATTAGAGGCGATGTTGGTTGTTGTAGTGCACGGGGAAAAAAACCCTTTCGATATTTGCTCATTCTATCATCCTGATCACGTTGGAAATGGTTTGATTTGGTTTGTTTGCAAAGCGATGACCCATGCACCGCGGCGTTACGTGAGTTCGGGTGAAGAATTCTAAAGTGGGACTCTAAAAGTGCAGCTGAAAGAACTACAATTCCCGAAAGTGTCATGGCGGCCGCAGCGGAAGCAGCGTTAGGGGTCTGTGCGCAGATGCAGCACGTTCCCAGAAATGATTAAAAACTCAACAAATACAGAGATACTTTCATAAATACGGAAGAGGATTAGGGCCACTAAAAGAATAAAAAAAAGTTAACTGATATTTACATTTTATTTTAATTTAATAGGGGGGAAAAAAGTCAGAATTCTGAGATTAAAGTGAGAATTCTGTGAAAAAAATTCGATATGCTGATGAAGATTCTCAGTCATCCAGGTCATAGTCATTCCGTAAAAGTAAAAAAAAAAAGTCAGAATTCTGAGAAAAAAGTCAGAATTATGAGACCTCCCATATTAAACTGAAATAAAATAAAAAAATTAGTTGACTTTTTTATTTTTTCAGTGGGCCTAATCCTCTTCTGTACATAAACACTTGTAACTAAAAAACTAAATTTACTGTTGGGAAAAAAAAGTTTTTATTTCATCTTAAATCTATTTTTTATTAACTCAACAAACACAGAGACACTCTCAGAAATACGGAAGAGGATAAGGACCACTGAAAAATTAAAAAAAGTTAACTGATATTTAAATTTTATTTCAGTTTAATATTGTAAAAAAGTCATAATTCTGAGATTAAAGTGAGAATTCTGAGAAAAACGTCAGAATTATGAGATCAAAGTCAGAATTCTGATTTTTTTTTCTCCCATATTAAACTGAAATCAAATTTAAAAATCAGTTAACTTTTTTTTTTTTCAGTGGCCCTAATCCTCTTCCGTACATAAACACCTGTAACTATTCACTGTTGAAGAAAAAAAAAAAAAAGTTTTTATTTCATCTTAAATTTATTTTTTATTAACTCAACAAACACAGAGACACTCTCAGAAATATGGAAGAGGATTAGGGCCACTGAAAAATTAAAAAAGTTAACTGATATTTAAATTTTATTTCAGTTTAATATTGTAAAAAAGTCATAATTATGAGATTAAAGTCAGAATTATGAGATCAAAGTCAGAATTCTGATTTTTTTTTTTCTCCCATATTAAACTGAAATTAAATTTAAAAATCAGTTAATTTTTTATTTTTTTTTTTCCAGTGGCCCTAATCCTCTTCCGTACATAAACACCTGTAACTATTTACTGTTGAAGAAAAAAAAAAAGTTTTTATTTCATCTTAAATTGTTTTTTTATTTATGAGTTGTTGTTTTTTTCTAATAGGATGATGCTTCAGATACTGATTTATTTATTTATGAAAGTTCTTTTATCTAAAAGTTATTGTATATTAGTTCTTACAGTGGTGCTTTTCGTTTGATTCAAATAAAATAGGAAATCTTGAATTTTTTATGTTTATTTTGCTGTTTGTCCTGCAAAAAAGTGCGAGAAACCAAGCTTCATATTATTATTATAATTAGTTTTATTACTCCTATCATTAGCTTACCAAAGGGGTTCTAAAATTAATCCTTCATAGGAACAATCCATATGTTCCCCACTTTTTCCAAATCAAAAGCAGCGCTACTTTCATCTTAAGCCATGTGTAAAAATAGCTATCATGCTTTGAACGGGCTCCATCTTAACTCTTGCCAACCTTCTTTCAACTCTTGCATGCGTCTCAAATCCAGGTGCCTGCTTTTCTGGTGATGTGGGCTTTCGGCTACATCAGCCCTTTTTTAACTCAGCACCATCGTGAAAGTGCACTGTAAACACACAGCAGCGGTGTGACTGCCTTTGGCTGTCACCTGTGAATGCCCTCTCAAGAGCGGAACCAGATTGCTTGTAACCTGGACAGAACAGTACTGAAATATGTTTAGTCCATTGTTCGTATCAAAGCACATATGAAATGCATTCGGGTTTCACGGACGGTCTGGTGTTTGGTTGTGGGAGGGCGGCGCAGGGGTCTAAAACACCTGTTACATATTACCATTACATACTTTGATCAGTGTCTTCATTAGTTCCTTGTGTAATATCTTTTCTTTTATGGTAGAGTTGACCTAAGTGAGCGCACCAAAAGTGATTTAACACACACGTTTCATTTACCTGTCTTGCAAAGTGCTTAAAAGCTCACCCACTGTGAAAGATGTGAGCACGTCTGGCATCCTTAGTTATTAAAGGATGACGGTTCTTTTGATTCCTATTTATAACCTACATTTCCTTCCATCTGCCCGAGTCCTCAAAGGGAAGAATGTGTTTGAAAAATATCCTTTGACTACTTTTTTTTATGAAAACTGGATCCATATGCTTAAAAAAAAAAAAAAAAACACAGAAAAAAGTCTTGTGTTTTATACTCTTACTATGTCAGAATCTGCCTTTATCCAACCTCCATTTGTCATTACTCAGCATGTGTTTTGTTCATGTGTCTAACTATGATTCACATATTTTTATTGTCTGTCATAGTTATGGTTGACATAAATTACCTTGGCTTACTTTGAAAGATCTGCTGCTCTTTGATTGAACACAATTTGTCATATTTTAACTACCACACCATCCACATATGTTGTAACTCCTACTGAAACTAAGGATTTCCATCCTGTAATTATGGGATGGTATCTTTACAGTCGGTATAGCAGAAGAATTCATGCAGCATTTAGGTAACATCTAAATTTAAAAAAGTAAAATGTTAATTCTAATCATGGGTGAAATCATACAATTTACTCTGATTATCCACCTAGAGCTTGGATAACTCATCTTTACAGAAAAGCAAACGGAAAAATGAAGCAGCAAATTTATAAAACCCAATAAAAAACGCTTTTAAAGCAAATCAGTCTGCAAATCAGGTAACTCTGGAGCTCATTCATGCACAAAACACATTTCTTGACTGAAAACTCTAATATTATCAACTTTTACTGAATGAACACTAAAACATTTCATTTTTTTTATTAATTACTAAATAATATAGAATGACATAAGGGCACATAAATAATATGTTTAAGTTTATAAAGCACTCTGAAGAGAGACTTTTTAAAGTAAAAAAAAATGTGCCAGTAAGTCACTTTTGTAAGTTTTGATGACCTAATTTAACTCTTTTGGTAATCGCTGTAATGACAGACATCATTACTTAGAGCTTTAGTGTCTTCCGTGCTTTTAAAGTTCTGTGAAGCCTCTGATATGGTCGAAAACCAAATTTTTTTGTTTTATCATTGAAGATTAGCTTTTTTCCCTTAAACAATCAGTTTTATATTTTTAAAACTAACCCAGTCAGTATATATATATATATAATTTAGTACAGAGGATTCAGATCGCATTAACAAACTTCTATGCTGATTAGGGATGAGTATTTTCGCCAAAGTCCTGAATCTATTCTATTTTGATTCATAGTTCTAAATCGATACATTTCGATTCGATCTGTTTTTACAATAATAAAAGGGATTCAACTGTGTTTTTAAAAACTCATTCTCTCTATTCACTTCTCATGCTCTGTCCACCATTAGTTTGTTCCCACAGGGAATAAGTCAAACTTACTGTATTTTCACGTTTTACTGTCAGTCATAATGAATTCAGAGAGGAAAAGAAACTTCTTCCCTTTTTTTGATGCTTGTGTTTGAGGCTCTGTGAGCAATGATAATGTGCAGACTCTCTGCAGTAAGACAAGCCAATTACCGTCCTCAACAGTGCCTGTCATTTGTCGAACAGTGAATCAGGCTCTAAAGTAGGCACCTCTGTTCTTGTATCTGACCTGCCGGGTCTGGCATCAGACGAGGTCACTCCTATACATACTCTGATGTGGTTTCATCTGGAGTAAGCGAGAAGAGGAAGAACTGCTTTGAACTTCTTCTGTCATCAAAAAACTCTTATGAATGGATCTGGCCAATGTGTTTGTGCTCAAGATGGAGACGTGTTTTTTGTTAATGCCTATTGCGTCATCCCTGGGTGACCCTTTGACAAGACTTCCTTTTCCTGATATAATGAGGGTATAAAATCTCTGCAAGTAAAACATATAATGCTACAAAAAAAAACTTTTAGACTCCATAGACATACTTCTTTATGACTAATGTCTTTCTGATGCAAGAGTTTTATTTTAGGGTACCTTTTTGAAACCTTATAGTTTTATGAAATTACAGTTACATCATTAAGAAAAGACCGCACATAGTTTGCTAAATGTGCTGAAAGCAGATTCTTGCTGGATCTCTGGTGAAGGTAATGCGAGGAATTTAAAAACAGAATTTTTCCACTGCCAGAGCCGAGACCCGGGACCATCCTCAGCATTGTTCTGTCTCTGTGAAGTCACGCTTGTTTTTGATTTGTATTTATATTGAATGACCATATGGAGCAAGTATGTACCTCCTCAGCTTTCTAACCTCTGATGTTAGCCCTAGGAAGCTGTTATTTGTCAGTACTATAAAGCAGATTGCTGTCCAGTGGTTTCAATTACCATCAAAGACTTCTTTGCAGGCAGTAATAGCTGTATCAAAAGCTGAAATTTATTATCTAGCCTGTGTGCTAAAATCTTCCAAATGATTGTCCTCCTTCAGCTGGAAATTTTCTTTTCTTTCCTGCCACTGCTTAAGTCCTTTGTTGGGTTTTTTAAGGATCCCACATTTCTTCTCTTTGTAGTGCCAGGGCACCTGTTTGGCTCAGACTTTGTGATCTATTATTGTTAACATAACACGGCTCTTCAAGACAGAATAAACGGCTTAATTATTTGGAATCTAGTAAAAATTCTTGTCATTTTAGGTACTTCTGCTCCAAATACCTTTTTCTTTTTTTCTTTTTTTAAATTTAAACCTTCTAAATGATGATACAAGAATAGAGACTGTGAAAAGTGTTGGTTATTTCTAACACCATAGGAAGTAAACCAGATCAGGTTTCCCTAAATGGCCAGATTGTACTTTGAATTTCCCATCCTTTCTTACTTCCATCTTATTTTCTGTTGTTTATCTGTATATTTAGACTCAGACAACTTTTATAGTCATTTTGAATACACAGTGTGTACAAAACA